AATGCCAGGTAACTACCTCATCAATTATTCATAATATTATAATCATAGTATTTATATTTGCATAAATTCCATGTTTATTATGTGTAATGCAAATTTTTTATTCAGAAAGGCCATGAGGATAGATGGGTCAGCACAGAATACTACGGTGGAAAAAGTGTTGTCTGTTTGTTGACCCAACTAATGATTATACTTGGTGGGTTGACTTGGGAGCCCTTCGCCAACGCATGCTCCTTTATAAATTTACAGTTGGGGTCAACACGACTGTTCTACAGAAACCAGCTCATTTACCAAAAAGCTGTCAACAGTTTTTTCCAAAGACACATGAATCAGATACGCCAGTCCTTGAAAGAGAAAGACATAGTGGCAGCAGTGGATGTCAGATATGATACCCCAGGTAAGTTGACAAAGTAACAATTCTACAATTCAAACTACTATTTTCTGCAACAAGTGATCCAGTAGGCTACACATCATAACTTTCACACTCTTTTCAGGATTTTCTGCAAATAAAGCAACAGTCGTTTTTTTGGACACAGCATCAAGAAAGATCTTTCATTTTGATGCTGGTGATTCACAAGAAGTAGACAGACACAGTCCAAGATTGGAGAAACATCTGGTATCAAAAGGTTTACAATTCATCCTTACCACCCAACTTCAAGTTTCTGAAATAGTTTCTGATGCGAGTACAACAATTATCAATTTGATGGGTAGGTCATATTCAAACTCCATAGTTCCTACGCTTACGCTTATGTTTCATTACTATCCTTGAGTCAAAATGTTTCTGTCGATTTCAGCATCTGAATTCCCACAGTTTATACACAGCTTAGATACGTGGCACAAAGCAAAATCCATAGCTAAACGATTAGCAGAAACATCCAAGAAGGCAGCTAATAAGGAGCTTATACCATGGATTAGAAAAATCATCAATCACTTTTGGTACTGCTGTCACGTATCGAAGGGAAGTGTCGACAGACTAACACGTCGCTGGTTTGGTATACTTTACCATGTTACCAATGTGCATTCGTGGGTCACTGACAGGTAATTATGCAGATTTGTCTAGATATCTTTTTTTTGATATAACTCTAACGATGTAAGTTTGTATACAAGATATTGCATTGTAGTTGTATATGTTTCCATCTTTGATTATGCAGGTGCAGACATAGAGAAAATGAAATAATTGACAACCCATCAAGATCGTGGTTGAACAAATCAAGTACCGCGTATAAAAATCTAAGGTATGCTACAGTAAAATATATCCTTATATATTCATTGATCTCCCTTGAATTTTTATCAATATAAGATATATGAAAATCTTCAAAATATTTACAGATCTATTATCACAGATAAATATTTCCTGGGAAACCTGAAATACTACACACGGTGCAGACAAACATGGTGCATTGAGAATTTTTACTCTCATTCCTTACTGAAATATTGTCCAAAAAGAATAGGATTTAGTTTCGATGGTTATGTGATGAGAAACCAACTAGCCATCATAGACTACAACCATCATACAGGAAGACCAGCGCTTACCAACTCACAGGACGAAGTTTGCGGAATGCCACAGTTCTCGAGGAAAACCAAGCACTGGGTAGCATATGAAAGGCTTGTATGTAAGAGTTATGACTATATACCAGGTAAATATAAATATATTATTGCTTTGTTTCTTTTACAGTTGAGTACATTTTGTATTTCCTCTTATAATTTCATTGAAATTATTTTTAGATCTTATGTCAGAATGCATGCATCATATATACTGTGCCAGAAACGAAGACTACAAAAAAGGTAAAAGGTCCCTAGAATTGGATGACATAGCACCAAATCTGTCGGGAGAGTCAAATCCGGAAACGACGTCAAATTTATTGAAAGAAATGAAACGAAGAAAAAGTGAAGGTAAACAATATTTTTATTCAGAATCGGAAAACGCTGAATGGTATCCAGAATATTCATTTGATGGAAATGTTGCTCTTATTGCAACGTAGGTACAAGCTGGTAATGGCTTGCGTTTCCCGGATCCCATCTTGCCATGTTGCCAGAGGATGAAATTTCTGTAAGCTTGATTTCGAAAAGTTTTATTAGAAAAGTCTGCATCTTGATTTGTTTGATGACTCCAGTTGAGAATGTTGGCAACTTCTATGACATCATGTCGCAAATTTTTGAATTCTGGCTTGGAAGTAATACATGGTGTGGTACGACAACATGTATTCATTCGAACATCCTACATAATTTCACAATTTCCGCAACTGCACCAGCTTGGACGTGGGAGGGTGCTTGATGATTCCGAATCAAAAAATGGAAATAGGTGATCTGGAATGACATGTGCTGCTTCCTTGACTTTGTCACGTAACTGTTCTAATGACATATTATCAACCTTTTCCTGTAATGATAAATTCAGAAGCATTCAGGAAATATTTGTGAATACATGGATTGTTCATGAATATTATGTCAAAATATTATTTACCATTATAATTTTCTTTTTCTCTTCGTCTTCTTTCTCTGCAGGTATACACCTTTCATGAAGCTCTGTATTCCTGCTTGTTTCACCACAGTTTCTGTTGCTTGAGGAAGCATAAGGATGGTACCGTGACGTTGTTGCCCTGTTCTGTGAAGTTTTGGTCTGAAAATAAGGGCACGGAAAGCTTTAGACGTTGTCAAATAGGTTTACAGAAAAACGAACAATGATAGTATTATGATATATTAGAATTAGATACATGGAAATAGAGATAAATAAAAAAATTGAGAATGATATGTTACCTTGTTATCTTGCAATTTATATCTGCATCCCATATTTCGACAGTTGTCGCCACCTTTTTTTACTGCAAACACAACTTCCACATTTTCCTCTTCTCAAACAAGGACAGCAGTTTTGTACCTGTTCCGTATCACAAAAGTCAGATTATAAAATTTATAGCAAAATGTTTTGTAGTCTGATAAGCAATGAGTTACGTCCCTTTGTTTGTTTACAATTTTGAGAGAGGACTTCTGATAATCAATAAAAGATTATGATTTGCAACAACAAATTCTTCCGATTACCAATATAATGGTGTGTTGCACTGAACGCCTTATATTATAATTCATGAAAAGGTAGGGTACAACCATTTTCATACATAAAATTATGCACATGTCATGTTGTGAAATTGCAAGAGATGAAATGTCCTCGTGAAATTGAATACAGATTGCAATAGTCCATCTGTTTAGCCTATAATATAGAGTAGTGGCAAAAACCGATGGTTTTATTTGTTTATAAAGGGTTTTGAGATGAATGGAGATGGAATGGATGCAGTAGAAATGTATAAATTATATAATATTTACTTCGTCGGACATTTTCGGATTATAATCTTCTTGAGCTGTGAGATTTTGTCCAGTTGAAATCAATGTTGACAGTGAAGACGAAAACACGCCGGCTCGGTTTATATATGAGGCTGCGCTACGCTTGGTTGCTTCTCAAGTTGACAAAGGTCTGTATGGCTTCAGTCAAACGATTCAAGCTGACTTAGGCCAATACAGACCTATACTTTTTTTTTGTTTAGGTATTGCGCCTTTTTGTGACTTCATGTTAGCTTTAATCTGGTATAGTTGCCAAAAATGTTGGAAAGAATAAGTGGAATTTATCCAGACTTAAAACCTCCAGATATACTGCCATCTTCTTCAGCATCATGCGATCTTTTCACCAGACATTTTTTAATATCAAGTATTTAACTAAATAAATGAGCCAATTTATGGATAGATACTTCTAGAATATTTATTACTTATAATAATTATTATATTCCTGATGACGGTGTGAGAACCACATTGAAACGTTGAAGTAATAAATATTCTAGAAGTATCTATCCATAAATTGCCTTATTTATCTATAACCTGTGCATCTAATATGCCTTTGAAAGATTAAGTATTTAAGTGCTCACAAATATTTGTCATAACTTTTTTTTAGTATTAATAAACACATAACGATGGTCGTCAGGATTGTTCCACTGTTTGTTAACAAGTTTGTTAAATTCATCTTTCTGCATACCATGAATTATCGATTAAATAATTTGACTTAAATCTTTATCGTTTATTTCAAATAAAATAAAACAATTGGCGTTCTTTCTGATAAACATTGCATCCATTCCATAAAATGATTGAGATTAATATATACAATGACAATTTTGATGTCTTCCTTTAGAAAAGAATTCTTGTTGAACTGTTTGATTTTTTTGTGCTACACAATCATCAAACATGATTAGGTTTTCTTTTCTTGTCAATATGGGACAAATCTAAATCATTCACATTTTTGGTGAGCAAAACTTTGATATCAGCAGGATAGACGGATGGATTCTTTTCTTTTACGCAATAATTTATAAATTCATCAATCGTATTGTTTTCTTGTAGTTCTTCATCATTTTCATATGTTTAGAATATTTGGCCTACGTCTTGTTTTGGTAAATATTCTAAGGCTTTCAGAAATTGATAATAGAATTGATCTGGAGTTGATGTATATATGTATAGGGAATATAATAAATCTGGAGTTGTTAACATGTTAAATAACAGGTAGGTCTTTCCAGAGCCTGACTGGCCAACGATGCATATTAGCATTGGGTTTTGTGGAAATCTGTCTGAATGTTTGAATTTTGAAGCCATTTTTTGATAGTTAAATTTTATTGTGGGTTTAGTAGAACACCGTCTCCTTGTTGATATTTTGAAAGAAATAAACCATCAGCAGTGCGAATGTCTTTAAGTCTTATTCCCTTTCCTTCTTTGTTTTCAATCTTCGTTTCACCCGTATTGATTTGATCAATTAATTTAGACAAACCTTCTTTTACCGTTTTCTTGGTTTCATGGTTGAATTGTTGATAGTTGATAAGATATCTTTTATGTTTCCATTTCTATGTTATGTCTACGTTTTTCTCCGGCCCCTTTTGCCACGACTAAAGCGGCCGCCAACCCCCCGAAAATTAAGGGTAGGAGAAAGGGAAATCCACCTTCTTTCACTTGTTTGTCTATGGTCTTGAATTTTATGATTTTTTAATACCGTTATAAGTAATTGTTTTCGGTTTGCCACTCTCAATTGATTCTAATATTTTCTCCACTAAAATTTCTGATTTCATTTTTTAAAGTAATTTTTTTATTCAATTCTGTTCATCTTTCTATCCATTACAGTTATGATATGACGAGACTCTTCTAGTAATAAGCAATACCCAACCATTTCTCCTGCTGTCTTTTCAATATATATGGACAGCTGAACACCCGTTTTGAACAAATCTTCTTTGTGGGCGGAGAGATCAAAGCAAAATATTGGATAAAACAAAATCAACATATTGAAACATTTCCAAATAACTCACTCATAATTTTATAGTTTCTTTATAATTCGTTAAAATCTTGATTATCTGGATCTATTGTTAAAGGTTGGTTTGGATAATTTTCGTAATTCATTCTTACTTGAACTCTATTTATTTTATGATCTCGAAAGTTGTCACCGATTATTTTAAAAAGGTTATTATTATTTTCTTGCGAATCCGGAAGAGTTTTGAAAACAAGTATTAAATATCTTGCTGGTTTTGTAGTGTTTGTCACTTGCCATGTGTAATTCTCACCTGTGATTGTTATCGATACAATCGTGTTTCTTCTTAAAATATATATCTTTTAATATTTTTGTCAAACTATCAAGTAGTCTTGTTTCAACTTCAATTGTTTGGGTTATTACTGGAACATATAATTGAATATTTCTTATTTCCAATTTAGCATTTTCTTCTCCAAAAAATATATTCTATCATTATTTATTGTTCTTTGAAGATGGAATTTGAAAGGAAGACCAGTGTAAACCTTTCTATGTTCGAGTTAACCGAACAGTGGACAGACCAGTTAACATAAGTTTCCAAACTGTTACCATCAACAGTGCGATTGTATAAAACAACTCTTTTTTATAACCTTTATTATTTTGAAATTTTGAGACATTGATTAACTTTCCCTTAGTTGGCATCACGCGCAGTGTCTTCTGGATTGTTTTGAATTCAGCCATCTCCCAAATCTGCAATCCATCTTGATGATGAATTATAGTCTTTTGAATAAAGTAGGGTTTTCAACGTGGTGTCAAATTCACCTTGGTTTCAATTGTATTTGAACCTGCTTCTAAAACCATGTCGCTGAATAAGGAGGGGAAAAATTTGTTTTCTAACGTTACGTTCTGTTGTTGGATTCTGTTTTGTTTTGTTTGTGGTAAGCTTTATAACTTTGGTACCCTTCTTTTATCAATTTTTCTCTCAACCGTTTATAATAACTCAAATGTTACTCAAGGTATTTTATATGTGCATCTACTTCAGTTGTATCGTATTCTGGAACTGAAAATAAAAGATTAGGCAGAATTATATGAAGGAAGTAGAATCTCAAGTAAATTTATATTCCCTTGCTGGTATAAATTCTCCCCTCATCATTCTATCCATTAAATTAATGATATGGCGATAATCTTCTAGTAATAAACAATACCCAAAGAGTGAATTTGTAAATCAACAAACCTGCAGTTGTATGAATTTGCACACATATATCCATTTTTTCCTCTGACATATTCACCAAAGTAAAATGTAATTCACCATACGACACTATTATTACGCATTATGAAATAAATTTCTAGAATACTCAGGTATATTCAGCTGTCGTACCCATTTAACATAAAATCAACATGTTCATAATAAGAAGCTGACATTTTCCGCATAAAATTCTCATTATTCATCAAATCAATATATATCCCAATAAATCATAATCATTAAAGCTATGTTCTCCCATTGAATTAATAATAATAAAGTTGTGTTCGCCTGGCGATTTATAGGGGTATTGGGCGAAATGGGGGTAGTTGCTGGCATGACAGGGTGTTGACACTTTTACAGCAACTACGGAGCGAAGTGGATTGTTTACACTTTTACAGCAACTACGGGCCGAAGTGGAGTGTTTACACTTTTACAGCAACTACGGAGCGAAGTGGAGTGTTTACACTTTTACAGGAGTAGTTGCTGTAAAAATGTAAACACTAGTACTACTTAGATTGACTGAAGGATGGTGATTATTCAAGATTCAAGAAATATTCCAAAAAGTTTGCCAAAGTTTCTGTCCAAATGATAAAAATGTCATCTAAAAATCTTCCATAAAAGAAACGTTTAAAGGGCGATATTAAAGGCAGAGGGGTGCCTTTTTTTTGACCAATAATACTTTAGTCTCAGAAACGGGCATTTTTTTAGGTTAGCAAATCTGTAATAGTCCACAGCTCACCGTCTTAATTTGAGCCTTCTGTGTCCAGAATTATCCGCATTGATTGTTAAAATGACGACTCGTCAATTTAAGATATTCTGTGAGAAAAGATGTATATAGAAAGTATATAAAATTCCTAGTTCGAGATATTTTTGAAGGCATTATTCGATTTTCGTACATTTCTAGTACTTCAAAAGACTACTTCAAGACCCAAATCAACCCCTTGAAATGGCACACCTGTCCTTTAATGATAATTCTTGTTCCCACTCGGCTATAAAAATAGCTCGTCACAAAGGGTTTCCCCATTGCAGTGCCAGAGCTTTGGAGATATATTTTTCCATTAAAACTAAAGGCATTGCACGTTACACACAATTCTAGAAGATTTAATATTCCTTTGTCTGGACGATCAGAACACAGATTTCTATGAAAGACTTTTCGAACAGCTTCTAAACCGGATTTGTTATCAATGTTCGTATACATACCTGTTACATCTAAAGAGATAAATAGCGGTATGGCGTTTAGTTTAAATAATGAAATTGGTTAGAATCGGAATTTTTCAGGGTGGTAGG